AGTAGAGTCTGGGTTTTTTCCCCCCCAGGTGCCTGTCGGGGCCTGGGTTTCAGCTGTCCACACCACAGCAGTGGGCAATGAGCTTAAAGCCCCTGGTGGCTCTGGGCGCTGACTCTCACCAGTGGCTATGGATGAAGTCACAGGCGATTTTCAGCCAGTGCCGGAATACATGATAATTTTTTAATGTCTTGAACATGGATTCTATTTGTTATGTGCATGATGCTGAAATAACCTAAAATGACCATTGGCAGGTTTCCCAATTTCTTACCTCAGAATCTTAAGTGCTTATGAAGTACTAATTTGCCTGAAATTCTCAAATGATTATTAATACAATTTTCAGTGTAAGGATAGAGTGTGATTCCAATATAAGTAAAATATAAATTATATAATAACTTTAGATATGAGTAAAAATTAGACAAAATGCTATTCTCCTATTTTAGCCTTTATTAAGAAGAATCATATTTTCTTATACAGTGTCCACTTCCTTTCTTTAATTCAACAGATCAATTTATTGAGTGTCTTTGGCAAAGTGCAATGCTGTGGGGGATAAAATTGTCAAAGTATAGAATGTGGAATAATATAGAACCACTAGGCAGCCCTGGTGGTACAATGGTTAAGCACTCAACTTCTGACCAGAATATTGACAATTTAAACCCACCAGTGGCTCCATGGGAGACAAGCCATGGTGAGCTCCCAAATGAACAGCTCCTAGGAAGCCCTGAAGAACAATCTATTCTGCCCTGTAGGCTTGTGAGTTCAAATAGGTTCAAAGGCTTCATCTAACCACTAAGGAGTTATAAAGAATCATTAACTCAAAGAACCTCTCTTGTATACCCAGTTGATCCACAAACACTGAACTCTGTACACTTGCTTAGTTTACTCTAGCTGGTCTGTTGTAACAGAGAGTGCTGCAACTGGGGTGGCTTTAAGCCACAGAAGTTTATGCTTTCCCAGTTACAGAGGATTGACGTAAAATTCAGGTTGTTGTCTGGACTGAGTCCCTCTGAATTCTCTAGGAAAAAAAAATATTTTCTTGCTTCTTCTAGATTTTAGTGGTTGTCCCAAATTCTTGGCATTTTAAAAACTTTGTTGCATTATTTTAATCCCATCTTTGTAGGTAATGTCCAAATGTACCTCTCCTTTGTCTTATCAAGTCAAGAATCATGACATTAAAAACTCATCTTAATCCTTACTGACATCATTTTAATTGCATTGTTTCTGCAAAGATGATTTCTAAGCAAGGTCACATTCACAAGCATAGAGGTGTGGACTTAAATGTATCTTTGTGGAGGACTCAGTGCAAGTCCCACCAGCTATATGAACTCTCACAGCGTATGTAGGTTGACTACCACCATACAGGTATTCACAAATTACTATTGCTAGTGGTAAAAAGTGGCATACACATAATGTCTTCTTGTTCCAAGGAAGAGTAGGGTTTTCCTATGGCTATAATAAAGGACTGGGTTGTTTTTTTTTCCCCTCTGGGTCTTGGAGGATTGGGAAGATTTAAAAATTATATGTAGAGAGAAATGAGTATTTTAGGTGGTTGGGAAAACACAGGATGCAGACTATAAGCAGGCTGATAAGAATCTAGGGCATATGAAAGGGAGAAGGGAATGACATGAAATAATTAGAAAAATGGACTAATACCAGGTCATGGAGAGTATTAAATGTCTAGTAAACTTAATTTTATGTGCTGTGAAAGTCTAATGAGGGTTTGAGCAGGGAATAAGTTTCTCTGTCACCAACACATCAAATGGGTTGGAGGGAGGAAAGACATAGTCGGGGGGATATCAATTAAAAGGCTATTTAATCTAGTAATTCAGTAAGAAAAAGTGATAGTTAGTCTCTTTAGAGAACTTGGGCCCAGTTTTTGTTCCTCTTGTGTTTTGGTTAAAAAAATGAAGAGACTGAACCTTCACAAAACATCCCCAGTTAGATCCCTTTGATATAGGTTATATGAGAGCTGCTTTCAAGTTGTATCTAGTTTGCTTGACCAATAGAGAAAGCTTTGGGTTAACGTGGTACTTTGGCAGGGAAAGTGGTTCAGACCAGAGGGCTTCCTTCCTGTCTTCTGAAAACAGAAGCACTTTTTTGAGATTCTTTGTGTGTTTACATGACCATGTATGTATTACATCTTGGTAGCACAGTTAAGACAGTGGTCAAATTTGTGTCAGGGTAACTTGGTACTAAATTTCACTTTATTGAAACTGTATGTTACATCAGTATTTATGTGTTTATGTGTTTTTGTGGAAGTTCATTTACAGCTTAGACTTTTTGTGTGTGTGTGTGTGTGTGTGTGTACCATCAAATCAGATCTGACTGGTATAGGAGGAGATTGTCCCTCCTCCCACAGAGCATCTGGTGAATTTGAACTGCTCACCTCTGGGACTGCAGTGCAGCTTCTTGCCACTAGGTCACGAGAACTCACCTAGCATAGACTTTATTTTAAAAAAGAAATACCAAAGATTATGAATCCCATCTAGATAGCAGATCTATATATTCACTGAGCTGTTTTTAAATTAGGTGGCTAGTAGTTGACATAAATTATTCTTTCAAAGTTCATAGAGGAGATTGTGTTGTTGTTTGTTGATTGCTGTCAAGTCGAGCATGACTTACAGTGACCCTATGAACAAAATTCCTGAAGTCTTTCTATAACTATCGTCATTTACCATAGTTCATAGAATTTCCAGAGGCATGTTGTTTAGGAAGTGGATGCCACTCCTGCTTCCAAATACAGTAGATTAGAGTAGGTATAGATCTTTATTTCCTATTTTTAAGGATCCTTACAAGGAAGGAGACATTAATGTTGAACTTTTCAGAGAGCAAAACACTGTCTTAAAATTTTTAGTTAATTGGAGAATGTTTGAGCTTGGACAAGTGCCAGGATACTTTTTGATATAAAATTTGGAAGCAAATTCACTAATATTTTAAAATTGAAAGTTGATTGTATTTAACAGGTTTAATTAAAATTTGTTATATTGTTATTTTAATGTGATTTCCTCCTCTTTCTTTACAGTTTCCGATCACTTGATCCTAATATATTCTCATTATACAATTCAGGAACATTATTACCAACAAGAAAATTTACAGTAGAGAACTATAAAACAATGCTTGATTCCATTCTTTCAATTAAAAAAAGAAGAGCCAATTTACCATCAGGTAAAATAATTGTGTTAATATGCTGTCAAGTTACCTGTAAGTTTTTATTGTATAATTGAGAGAGAGACTAAGAGAGAGAGAGACACATACTCAGGTTTTTTGAAGATAAAGAAATTAATTTGAGTTGTGGTATAAGATATTCCTGATTTCTTTTAAAAAGAGTTCTATATTTTTATGGTCCAATTATAAATATTTGGAAATATCTATGTTGTGTTTTATTAAACCAATGTGATTGTTGAACAAATTACTCTTGTTAAATACTGACAGCATGGGGAGTTGCACTGGTAGCCCAAAGACCATGTTTCTCTGGAAATTAAAATCCACCAGGAGAGAGAGGAACAATTCCCTCTCATGTGATTTAGTCTGAGAAACCCAATGAAGTGTCAGCTATGAGTCAGTTCTCATTTGATGGCAATGCATGGATTTGAGTGCAGTTGTTCAAGATTGACACAAGGCATTACTTCCATATGCTATATAGAAACAAATATCAGAACACATTCTGTCAAGGACATCGATGCCAACAGCAACAAGAACTGTTTTCCAGCCTATTCTGCATTCAAGACAGTCTCACTCTTGCCCTATAGGAAGTCCAGCTAGCACCTGCCATGGAAACTTATTCCAAGATGAGTACAATATGCTCATGTCAGGGCCAAGTTTTACTGGTACCTGGGGGATGGCAGAGGCTTTGTGAATTAGATGTGAATGAACAGGACTCTAGATCTGGGGTGCAGTACCAATAACGTTTACCTACTGGACTTTAATTCATTGTAATATCTCCTCTTGCAAAGATGGTGGAGCCTGCACACTATCCCTGTTGTTGTTGTTAAGTGCCGTTGAGTTGCAGGCAACTCATAGCCTACAAAGGAAAATCCTCAAAGCTTGGGTGTCTTTCATCCTCTCTCCAGGTTCATAGGGTTTCCAGAGGCAAGCTATTATGGAAGTGGATGCCGCTCCTCCTTCAAAGTAGTTTTAATTGGAGAGCTCCACCCCACTCTCTGCCTGCATTGGGCAACCAGCCATTAACACATTTGACACATCAGTGTCACAGTGTTCAGGCTCACAGCAACCACAAGTGACCGCTGTACGGCAACTTGTACAACAAGGCTTTATGACCTAGAGGAATGTCTGAACAAAAACAATGAAAGAATTCATTGACCCTTGATATGACCCTTTCAGGGTCTTAGCAATCTGGAACTCCCGAATGCTGGCAAAGTCCTTCCGCCAGACCCCCAGTTCATCTGGCATGTCCACTCTGCCGACCCCCACGTGGGGCCCAAAGAACACCAAAATTGCCCTGAGCCCTCAAACCTGCCATGCCTCAAGGAGCCAGAGACCAGATTCAGCTGACATTAAGTCTCCGCGCACTATCCCTGGATGTGCTCACCAAGTTGTGCC